CCCGATCAGGCATTTATATATATATATATATATATATATATATAATAGACTGCAGGTAACAAGGAAGAAAGGAAAAAAAGTCTGGTCCAGAGTACCTGGCAATTATGAGCCACTGAGAAGTACAAACATGATTTATTTCTCTGGAAACGTAAGAAGGCGATCAGGCATTTATATATATATATATATATATATATATATAATAGACTGCAGGTAACAAGGAAGAAAGGAAAAAAAGTCTGGTCCAGAGTACCTGGCAATTATGAGCCACTGAGAAGTACAAACATGATTTATTTCTCTGGAAACGTAAGAAGGAAACATGGCTGGTCTGGTCCAGAGTAGATAGCAATTACTATTGCAAGGCCCTTTAATCAATTTACGAGCCATTGAGACGAACAAAAATATACTTCCAAGTCTCGCTCCTCAAATAGGCTTCATTCAACACAATTGTTGCGTGTAAATTAGGTTGGGTATACCATTTTGTGATGGAATTCGGAGTTTTTAAGGATATTATGAGTTTTCATTTTTAAAAAATTAACCTGTTAAATGTGGTAGTCGTATTTAAATAATGTGGGGACTCGAGTTTCTTTTTTACCCCTTTATAATTTGAAGTCTAGTTATTTACTTATACTGCATTTTTTTTTCAGCCGTACTGCTTTCATGTGTAAAATAGGCTCATTCTCTGTTGGGAACAAAAACAAATCAAACGAATTAATGTATATTAAATTCGGATTTCTCTTGTTAGTAACCCAAAAAAAAAAAAAATGAAAAAATGAAAAAAAAAAGTTAAAGAAAGGACTGCTCTATCACCTTTCTCAAAACGACAAATCCTCATCCGGTGGCATAATTCAAATTAGCTGCTTTCCCTTGATCTTCTTTAGAAAAAGAATAAAACTCATTAACTGCGTGGATGTATCTCAAAAGGCCATAACTTATAACCTTATTATCTGGAATTGTAGAATTGAAAATCTACAGTTTCAAATATACGAAAGACACAGAAATTTACTCACTCATTGAAATAAACGAATGCTAAATGGTTAGCATTCGAAGCATACATAAAGATATAAGAACATGTTTAAGAGAACTCTCTAAAATTTAACTAAATTTTTGCTAAACTAGCTAGAAAACTATTTTAACTAGTAATTTTTTAGTGAGTCACTCAAACTATACTTTTTATTTTAGCTAAATATAGATTATTTTAATATTTATTAAATTTACAATATAAATAATTTTATTGAATTTACAAAAGAACCATGCATTTATTATAATTTAAAGAATAAAATAATACAAAAAATTAAATGGCTAGTCACTCCATGCTAGTTATATTTAGCTAGTGTGGAGGGCATTTTTTAAAATAACTAACTATTTAGCTAATAATTGAAGTCGAGAAAAACTAAAAAAAAAGTTGAATTATTAACTATTTTGACTAAAAACATAAGATGATTAGTATGATTGAAGTTGTTTTAAGTCAAACAACTTTAAAATCTAAAAGAAGCGATGATTAGAAAAGTATTAAATGTTAAGTGTAAAATAGTCAATCCCACATGTCTAAATATAAACATCACTACAGGCATATAAAAATATTAAGCCACCCCATTTAATAAGTTTTTTTTTTTTTTTGAGAAATCTTAAAAAATACTCAACAACATTGCTAAATAGCCGGTGGTGATATTAATATTTAGACGATGTGGGACTTGACTATTTTACGCTTAACAGTTAATACTTTTTCTAATTATCATTTTTAGTTTTAAAGTTGGTTGACTTAAAACAACTCCAATCATGTTAGTCGTTTCATATTTTTAGTTAAAATAGCTAATAATTTAACATTTTTTTTCTTGACACTTTGACACTTTCTTTCATGTAATTTTTTTTTCATTGTAAAATTTAGAGGTTGTTCTTTTGTCTAAAAAACTCAAAAAAAGACAACTCGAGTTCTAACTTTATTCAAGTTCATGTTTTTCTAAGTTTCAACTTTATTCAACTTTACTCAACTTTATTCAAGTTACAACTTCAGCTCAAGTTATAACTCAAATTTAACTCAAAAACTACACTCAAATTACACTCTAAAAAAACAACCCCTTAGATTCCAAACATAGCCTTAAACTGGAGATGAAAATCCGCATCAATTATTAAAGACGGAACTTCAATTATTCCATGATCAAATTAACAAAACTTTCCCTGATCCATATTACATCATTTCCTGCAAACAATTCCATTCCCACTCGCGCCACTCCCACTGCAATCCAACATCCCATACTCCACCCCCAACTTGTCCCCCTGCTCCTCCGCCAAAACCCCAGCGCCAGAGAACAAACAGTCGCGGCAATTGGCCGCCAAAAGCGACGTCGTTCGGTACCTGTCCTCGCCTCCCAACACCGGCATTGCCACCCCGGGCTTCGCCGGGTTCTCGAAATCCGACCTATAAGTCCTCCCAATCACGCCCTCAACTCTCGACGACAATCCATGAAACCTAAACTGCACCTCCAGATGGGCAAAGCAATCATTTTCAGGAATCTGATAGTTGTGAATCCGATCATCTTCGTTAGTCACCGGAACAACATTGACCGCGATCTCGGCCACCTCCGGGATGGTGATCAGAACACTGTTCTTGCTCGAAGTTCTCTCCACTTTGAACCCGGTTTCGGGGCACTGCCAAAACGACAGGTGGGACTCCGCGATGGCGAGTGGCTCGTTGTCGTATGAGAGGCTCAAGTGGTCGACGGAGTCGTCCCATGAAGAAGCCGGCGTGGCCTCCCATCATATCGCCAAAAAGATGACAACAGAACCAACAAAAACGTCTCCTTCTGTCAGGTTTGACACAAATCCGAGCTTCGGACACCATAGCCTGCTACGGCAAAAACAGCAAATGCTCTAAGAAGAAGATTATTTGCCCCAGTGAATGCCCATCAAGATATCCCAAAGACCCAAAAGCTAAAGTCTGCTATGTCAACTGCAACTCACCCTTATGCCAAGCCGAATGCAAAAGTAAGCCTAACATCCATATATATATGTATATATATATATATCATCTTCTTCTCAGAAAGATAGCATAAAATATAAATATAATGTGTTCTTCTACAATATATAAGATTGTTCTTTTATCATATTTCATCATACATAGATTTTTTAGAAAATGATTTGATCAAAATTTAGATATTTGTTGGTTCTGTTGTCATCTTTTTGGCGATATGATGTTCTAAAATGTTCACAACGAGTGGCAATTCCAGCAATATAGAAACTACTTCGTAAGATGAGGGGAAAGAGAAACAAAGACAGTAAATGGGTTTAAGTATACACCAATTTTCATTAGAGGTTTTACATATATTTTATGTAAGGGTACTGAAACAGTGACATGAATATTTTACAAATATCTAAATTTTGATCAAATCATTTTCTAAAAAATCTATGTATGATGAAATATGATAAAAGAACAATCTTATATATTGTTGAAGAACACATTATATTTATATGCTATGCTATCTTTCTGAGAAGAAGATGATATATATATATATATACACATATATATATGGATGGTAGGCTTACTTTTGCATTCGGCTCGGCATAAGGGTGAGTTGCAGTTGACATAGCAGACTTTAGCTTTTGGGTCCGTGGGATATCTTGATGGGCATTCACTGGGGCAAATAATCTTTTTCTTAGAGCATTTGCTGTTTTTGCCGTAGCAGGCTATGGTGTCCGAAGCTCGGATTTGTGTCAAACCCGACACAAAGAGCATAAGAAAGATGGCCAAACAACTTCGGCTTACGTTAATCTCCATCGTTTCCTTTCGTCACTTCCAAAGAAATGGATTAGAAAATATGGCCATACCCAAGTGCCCATTCCATGTCTCTTTTTATAGTATCAAAGCCGTGGACTTTGGGGCTGTTAATAATAATTTTTTTTAATTAGTATACATGTGTATGGTCTCTAGATTCGATAGAGAAATATGGGGGTACGTTGGATTGTTGAATACATTGCGGAATTGTTAATCTTGGTCAATTAATACTGTGGCGCTTGTAAATGTGACTGTGATTAAACAATAATAAGTTATCACAAGTAGCCCTCTATTCAGTATTGGGCAATTTTTTTTTAAAAAAAAAAAAAAACAATTCCATGGGGTGCTAAGGTGCAATTAAAAGTCAAATTTAGTGTGTTAGATAATCATATGACATTAGAATAACTCTTTATTTTGGGAGTCGCTTGTAATAAGCTCGGTCCATGTGATTATAGAAACATGTACAAGTTTTTGGCCCTCAAAATTCGCCGTAGATGCTTCAAGAGGACTTTTTGTTTACATTATCTGTCTTATATATTCTATTTCTAAAATCTAAAATTTCCTCATTCTTTTGCTTGTTCTTCAGTTACAATGTGTCTAGAATAATATTCCCACCACCGACTATCTTGCAAATTGCAATTACAGCAATAATTTTCGTTCTTTCTTTCTGTTCCTTGTCTTTTTTTTTTTTTTTTTTTTTTTTTTTTTAATAAATGAAACTGATCCCTCTTAGCAAGTCAACTAACAAACTCCATGTGACACTCAGCGAATATAACACGGTTTTGTGTTGCATCCTATTTCCTTACTCTGATTTTTTTTTAATTATAAATGTGTTTTTATTTTTCATTTATTTGTTTGTTTGTTCACAAAAATTTTTCTCTGAAATTACTATGTAGATTAGTAATGGTTTAAAAGATAATATTTTATCTTAAATATTGTTTCTTATCATGCAAATATATAATCATAACTTGAGTTAAACTTGAACATATATAACTGCTACATCTCCGAGCATAGAGGTGCAACTATGAATAAATATAACCAATTAATTACTTCGTCAATAATATAAAAAAAGTATATTATATATAATGATACTTGAACCAAAAACCCAAGATTATTTATGTATGGATGAGTTTTTAATAGTTACGTTTTTATCGATAGTTACTGATCAAATTATAAAAAAATAAATAAATATCTTATTTACAATGATGATGTGGCAGTTATATGACTTGCTATAGCAGGTTAAGCAACTTGTTAATCTTAAGCGTTAATTACAAAGATTTTCTTTTTCTCTTAATTTTGTATACATTATATTTAAAATATTAACCGATCTTCTTTTCTCCGTTTTGCACCTCTTAAAATATACTCTTAAAATATAGATTAATTGATCTCTATACATATGACAATATATGATCGACGAATTTGTAAAGAACCCATTGTTAATCTTCCAGTATAAACTACTCATTGATCGTTTCTATCATACCATGAATCAATGCTAATTCCGGCATACCATTTTTTTTTTTTTTTGGCAGTAGTCATACGAATTGTTAATAGAACGGTTCATTGGGTATTTTATTTGAGCATTTACTGGTCAATTGACCATCGCCTCAATCTTCGATTGATCTGCTGCAACTCCTTCACCTGAGATGATGTGCCCCAAGTATTTAAGCGACGGCCGGCCAAAACAACATTTTTTTGCATTCGCATAAAGCTCATGTTGCCGCAGCACTGAAGTACCTTACTCAAATGCTTTACATGATCCGTCATGGTTCGACTATAAACTAGTATGTCATCAAGAACACAGTACAAATTTGCGGAGATAAGGCCGGAACACCTCATTCATTAGAGCTTGAAATATCGCCAGAGTATTGGTTAAACCGAAGGACATAACCAAGAACTCATAGTGCCCTACATGCGTCCAGAAAGCCATTTTCGGCACATCCTCACCACGTACACGGATATGGGGATAACTAGACTTCAAATCTATCTTAGAAAAGACCGTTGCTCCATACAACTCATTGAGCAGCTCATCTATTACGGGAATCGGGAACCTATTCGGCACAATCTCCCTGTTTAAGACCCTATAATCCACACAAAAGCACCAACTATCATCTTTTTTCTTGACTAAAAGAATAGAACCCGAAAAAGGACTTACACTCGATTGAATTATTTCCGCTGCCAACATCTCCTTTACCAACTTCTTGCTTTCATCTTTTTGAGCTTAGGGGTAGCGATACGGTTGGATGTTGATCAGAGAGGTTCCCTCTTTGTGAATAATGTCATGATTCCAAACCCATGGCGGGGGCAATATGGCTGGCATGGCAAAGACCTCCGGCCAATGCTTTAGAACGCCTCCATACTCTTTCGATGTCCCTTTCATTTTCCACTCGTGAGCTTGGAGTTCCACAGAGTGCAGTTCAGTTCAACTAATAGCCCTTGCCCTTCTTGTTTCAAGGCCTTCAACATGGCTTTCAAGGAGACAGTCGACCTACTGAGACGGGGTTCTCCTTGCAAAACCACTTGCATCTCCCTTACTTTAAACTTCATCGATTTCCAATTAATGCTCCTTCCCCTCAATGTCTCGAGCCACTTCATGCCTGATATCACGTCCGAGCTCCCTAGTTCCAGTGGAAAAGTGTCCTCCACCACCTTAATTGATTAAAGTGAGAGTACCACTGTCATGACTGGGAAAATTTCCTGAAATTGTCTCTATTATAAGTATGAATACTTCAATGATAAGTATTTTTTGATAATAATATTGAATAGCAAATTATAAGTTAAAAATAAAAAATTTCTGAAGTATGATGCAATTACCGATTTCAGACTGTAATCAAGAAAGAAGCTCGAAATATTGTGTTAATCCCATAAGAGGTCAAACACATAAATATTAAGTTTAAGGAATGAAAAAGAATTGAAAAGCATCAATTCTAGCGTTTTAGAAACAATCAGAATTAAGAACGAACGAAATAAGGGTTTGGAAGGCCGAGCCGAAAAAATTAGGGTTTTCGACCGATTAGGGTTGACCGAATCAAAATTTATTGACCAAGAGTCGACCAATAGGTTACTCTTGAAAAGCTAGTCAATGTTGAGTAAAGTTGACCAACTGTCCGGAAAACGCTTGTAAAACGTGCATCAGATAAGCATTAAACTGAACTGGAAAAAGATAACTATTATATATGGATGGTTGAGATTTGAAATAACTAAATGAATGAAGGGTTGAGATTAGGACATGTGGGAAGAGAGGTGGCCGGCCAAGCTTAGTGAAGAAGGAAAGAAAAGATATTTTTGTCTTTTCTTTGTAAAAAGGACCTTAAAAAATATAGAAATTGCACTTAGGTCCCTCTTTTTTTAACCGGTTCTTTAAGTGAATAAACACAACTAAAGTGTTCATATTTCATGCCAAATATTGGTGAGCATTCAGCCAAGAGAGAAGAAAAAAGAATTCTCCCAAAAATTGAGAAAAACAAGTTCATATCTAAACCGACAAAACTATACCGTCAATTCGTGTCACTAAGGTCTTCTCTTCATTCTTCTAAGGTGAAATTTCAATTTTTCTCCTCATTTTTCACTTTGGCTGAACGTCCATGAACAGTAGAGATTATAGAAAATTTTTTGCTAAGAATGATGATTTACTTATGGTTATGAATGGTACCGAAAAACTTGATGTTTAAAGGTTAGATTTTCAGTTATTGGATTATGTTTTTAGCATTTTGTTTAGGGAGAAGTCTTGTGACAATAGTGATGAAACCCTAGAGCTTATGATGTTTACAATAATTAAAAGAATGAGAAGGGTTGTGATATGTGTTTGAAAGGTTGAAACAACGGATAAAACGAGCCATAGATAACTCGGGAAACATGAAAAATCAGGCGAAACATCGCCGAAATTTAGTTTACGGATATGAAATAATTTCAGTTGGACTGAAGAATAGGAGAAATATGGTGTGAAAAATAAGTTGATTAGGTGACCGAAGATGTGTGGAAACCTAAAACGATGAAAATTCTCAGTTTCAGACCAAAACCGAAAGCTAGGTTAATGACCGAAAATGTGTACCCGAGTATGCTAAGGCCAAAGGACCAAGATAGAAGCTTAATTTCAAAAATTAATCAACACCAAGTTGTAAGAAATTTCAAGTTGAACAACTTTTGTGAAATAGCATTTTTCTCAAAAATGATCCTAGACTCCAGTTTTGGGCTAATTTCTAAAATAGGTCCAAGATGGTGTGTAATACCCGAGATTTAATTAAGCCTTAAGCAAATAAAAAATAAATTTAGTAAATTAAAATCATGCACCACATTTATCATTTATCTCAAAGTTATTTGTTGACATTGTATTTCATTATTATAGCTATCATATGATTTTATTAAACTTATAGCTTTGCTAATCCAGTTTTCAATTTTAATGTGTAGTGCAACTAGCTCAATGTGGAAACTCAATGTGCTAAACTTACGAAGAAAAAATGATATTTATTATGATTATTTGATATGATATTTTACCTCTATTATGATTAATTTAATGATGAATTATTGTTTTATATTTTTATTATATGGTTTTAAGTAAATGTGTTGAGGACTTAGTTGCTATTTTGAGTTTTTATGAGAGAAGGCTATGTTAGCAAATTGAGTGAACTTTAGGCACCTAACTGAAGAAGAAAAATAGAGACTTTAGAGCTAATTTTATGAGGTTAGGACAAATGTTAGAGGCTTAGAAAAACCTTGACACTTGTCCTACTATAAGGTCACTTTACTTTTGCTTGGTCTCTATCATGTTTAGACTTCATTTTTGGTTCTATTTCAACAAAAAAAGCCTAGAACTCTGACCATAACATTTTCTTCTCTCTTCTCACTCCTTTTCTCACCCAAAACTCAGAATCAAACCTAGGTTTTCAAGAGAGAATGAGCTAAAAACTCGACCAACTAGTTTATGCTTGCAAAGTGGTGATCGAAATTCAGGTAAGTAGAGTTAAAGTATTTTTAAAACTGCATCACAAGATCTATTTGATGAAATAACTTGTTCAGAATTGTGATTATGCAAGTTGATTCTCTTATGAAATTCTTATATGATTATGTTCAAAGAGTATTCATGATTAATTATTTTGAAAGAGATTATGATATTTGCTTATTATGTTTTTATGTTTTAAGAGATTTTATGGTATGGTATATGGATGAGAGGCTGGGTAAGCAGGGGTGCGAGGGACTGATGCCCCAAATTAGAGAAACTATCTCTTTGAGACAACTTGAGAAAAATGCTAGTGGGAAGTCTCTTGTTGATCACAAGAGAAAGAGATTCTAAAAACCCCGCTTAGTGTTTAAGAGAAGAGAATTGGTAAAAATTAGAGAAGGTCCTGTATAGAGAGACTTACTTAGAATTGAAGTTCTGTACCATACCTAAACTAAGAATAAGTATGAAAGTTTATGAACAATGTTTAACAAAGAGATTTCAGCCATGGGGATTTTAGATACTTACTTTATTTGAAATCTACTTACTGAGTTTTTGCTAATTAGTTTTACCATGTGATGCAGATGATGTTGTTGTTACCGAAGAGTAAAAAAACTGATTTCTAAGGTTGGCTGAGTATTCCAAGTCCTACATCTGGCATTTTGCTTATATGTACTTCCAAATAATAGACGGGCCTAAAATGTTTATTTTTTTTTGTTACTATGTCACTTTTGAATAACTGTTTAATGTCTAAGATTTGTGGTTGTAATCATTTTGCACACTAACTCATTTTGTTCAAAAACCTTTACGAAAATTTTGTGATGACTTCAACCACAAGTTTCCGCATCTTAAAAATGACATTATTTTAAGTATAGAAAGTATGTTTTAAGTAGCACCACCTCGCTAAATTCGACCTTAGACCAGTTTAGTGTTGGGGGCATTACATGGTGATTATAGGTCAAATGTGCACGGGTTTGGAGCATAATGTTGAGATAGGAGATATTTCAGTCCGGATACCGAACATGAGAATTGTAGACCTTTTCGAGTTAAATTCTATTTCAATTACTGGTCTTAGATTGTAAATCTAACGATCGGAAATTTATATAATAGGATCGGTAGACGATCGAAGTTGGAGAGTTTCTGGTGACTCGAAAGACGCGACATTAGCGGAACTCCGGTAAGTACATCAGTTTTCTTTTGTTTATATCACGAACAAGCATATTTTTGTATGTTGCACAAAAATTATGCATATTGTAAGTACTAGTAGTTTTCTTTTATTTTTGACACGAATTAACTTATTCCTCTGTGTTGCATAAAATTGTGCATATTGCAAGATCAATGTATGTTAGAATGTGAATGATGCTTCTTGAATATTATATGATGTAATGAATGTTCATATAGACTCAAAGTAGAAGTATAATTTTGATATGTGACAAGGACAAAGTAAAGGTCAAAGTCAACAAAAAAGTCAAACCTTAAAAAAGTCAATTTCATAGGAAATTGATAGAAATGCGTAAAGACGCAAAACAAGATTAAAATTACTATCATAATAAAAAAATGACATTAAGATGAAAAGATTAAAATTACTGTCATAATATGAAATGATGGCACTAAGATGATGAATAAATAAAGATGACAAACAATAAGAAGTTAACAATACTGTTTGTATGGGTCTTCGCAAGGAAATGTTATTATGATTATGAATGAAATGAAACCGTAAGTGAGTTAGTTTTGGTTAGCTACCCCACTCCTCACTGGTTATGCGCGCAACTGTATAACAAGATAGGGCCCATAAGAAGTAAAAACTATGAAAAATGAACAACATAAAAACGAAAGATGTAAAGAAGTATGAAATGAAAGAAAATAAAGCATAATACGATGAACGCTGTTAATGAAAAGATAAGACAGATTTTTAAGATAAGTACATGATGAAGCATAATTGGCTCATGCATATTTTATTAAATGTTTTTTTAAAGTTATATTTTACGAGAATGATTTCTTACTTGCTGAGGGAAAGCTCATTGAGATATGATCATGCTGTAGGTAAGAAACCTGTCAGCAATTCTTAAAGAGCAGTGGCGAGCGACGGATGAATGTTGGAGATGTGTATGGAGACCAGTCACGAATAAGTTTAAATAAAATAATGTATATGTATATATGATTCAAAGATTTCAAGCATGTATGTTTGAAAAGTATATGTACGTATGTTTGTTAAAGAGAACTAAGGTTATAGCTAACAGCTTTAATTTTGAGAAATTAAGTTGTAAAGGCAATTTCAAGGATTGATTTTGAAAAGACTTTAAAGAAGTACTTGAATTTAAGATTTCCCATGAAATTTGGTTCAAAGTTATATTAGATGGTTTGATTGAATTGACTAATAATTTCAATTTATGAAATTATTCAATCTTATATTTAAGGTATTTATATATTAAAAAAAAATGTAT